GTGGGATGTGCGTCTATGGTATGTGGGGTATGATTCAATGGGATAGAGATCAAAAGAGATGTGGGATGTGCGTCTATGGTATGTGGGGTATGAGTCAATGAGATCAAAAGAGATGTGGGATGTGTGTCTATGGTATGTGGGGTATGAGTCAATGAGATAGAGATCAAACAAAACAATAATCCAGAATGACATTTAGGATATTCATTAGAGTACCGATTACTGAAAAGCATGGCATAAGTTTAAATCATAAAGGAAGAAATTTAATAATTTGCAGATTTGCGAGATGGGATCAACAGGAGACACATAAAAACCTTAGGCAGAGCTGTTGTAGCAGCTGAGAAGAGTAGGTTTGCTAGACTCCTGAAACCAAACATTGATGCAGCAGAGGACTTGAAGGCACACTTAGAAACGTTAGAAATGTTTTCACATGATGTGTTAGAACTGAAACAATGGACAATATCAGAAATAGAAAACTATGCACATCCACCAAAAGGGGTAATCAACACAATGCAAGCAACTTACATACTACTGGGAGAAGCTCCAAAATATCTCAAAGTGAGTGTTAATAGTATGAAATATCAATAACCGGTAAATTGTATGAAATATCAATTACCGGTAATTTAGAAACAGATTAAGTTAGGTTATTCTTGCTATATATATATATACATGATATATCAGATTTAAATCTAACCACTACTAAATTTCATCAATTTAAATTAATGTATTCAAATACTAAGTACATGTACTGATTACGCTAAGAAAATTCTTTATCACTGTATTGTGATGTATTGGTAAAGTTTCAAAACGAAAAACCCTTCCAACTCCGCTTTCCTATTTAGGAAAAATTAACAACCAGTTTATAATAGTGATAAGATCATTAACATATTCCTTTATTATAGGAATGGGGCAATATTCAAACTTTACTTAGGAAGCAGCATGACAACAGCATTATAATCCGTATTAAGAACTATACAGGATCGATAACTCCAGATATTATACAGCTTGCAGCCAAGAAGTTACGGGGTGTAGATGTAATGGAAGTCAAACATGCTAGTGCTGGAGCCGCCACGTTCTACCAATGGGTAAATATCTACAATATATCACCTTGAATTCATATGTGTCGGTGTGATTTACTGGGGTTGCCTCATTCTATCAATGGGTAACATATCTACAAAATATCACCTTGAATGTGTGATTGACTGGGTTGTTACATTCTAATAATGGGTAAATATCTAAAATATATCTTGAATTCCTAGGTGTCAATGTGATCAACTTGGGTTGTCACATTCTACCAAATGGCAATGGGTAAATATCTTCATTATACCATCTCGAATTCATATGGTTGTCACATTCTACAAATGGATAAATATTTACAATACCATCTTGAATTCCTTGGTGTCAGTATGATTTACTGGGGTTATCACATTTGAAAACAAAACGATTTGTCTTCGAAGAAACTAGCTACTAGTAGTAGTTCTTCGAATGCACTAGTCCGAGTCTAACAACTGTATATTACATTAACTGTCTAGGTGTTGGTGTGATACATTTGTGGTCACATTCTACTTATGAGTTCATATTTAAAACATATGTAATAAACGCCAGTGTTAAATGGATAAGGATTCTCACATTCAAACAGTAGTAAAGTATATAGCTGACTTAATTACCAATCATCATACAGATTCTTGTATGAAACACAAGCATATCATACATTGATTTACCAGATTAAAATGTGATGTACTGTGTAAGTATTCAACTACTACAAATGTGTAAGTGTCTTTCCCACACTAAGCTAAGAAAGGTTGACATGCAAGTAACTTAATCTTCCAGGGACAAGAAAGTAACATTCTCCACAAGTGATAGAAATATATTATTTGCTACAAGACATGGCTCATGAATTACAGGACAAATGATGCATGTTTAGGGGTAGATTTAATGCTCACCATATTGACACAGCTTGTCTCATATTTTTTGTGATTCCTACTTTTTTCTCCCATGTTTGTCTGTTTGAACTTTTGTAAAGTAGTGAATAAACAGAAAAGCCAATACAATTCAACTCAACTCTGTCTGAGGGGGAACAATTTATAACTAGAAATAAAGACCAGGACTACTGTGTTGATGGTACTCTAGTCAAAACGAAATATGATGGAACAACAGTTAAGTTTCAGTGGTTATAGTCGGTACACTTTTTAGTGGGATATCTTTTTTCAGTATTTCCAGGTTAAATTAATTAAGGTTAAAAATTTCAAAACCAAATAAATCTAATATTAACATTTGCGTCTACCTAATATGCATAGAATATGAATATTTTATCCACTTACCCCAAAATTAGGAATAAAAAAAATAATACTAAGTTTAATACTAATTAAAATTTTCTTTGTTTGCAGGCAAGGAATGTATTAGATGAAATGGAAGAGGGAACCTTCTCGCCAAGAAAAATGTCACAAAACTTTGATTCCTTATTAACAGCTAGAGACAGATATATGTTAAGCAATAGAACATATTACAAATAGAATTCTTTTGATATTTATTGTTCAATTGGTTTTAAAATAATTTACAAATCACATATTTCAGTCAAAATTATGCTCTTTCTTTGCCAATGGCAATTTGGGATCAATTCAATTCTGGAGCTTATTACAATAAAACATTTTAAAGGACTACTTCTCATTCAGTATTTATCAACAGTATTTCTGTAAATGTATTAACAAGAGTGCACACGCTGAAATGTCTCGCCTTCTTTACTAACCATTGATATTATGTTGATAGTCCTAAATGAAAGCTATACTACAACTATTACATAAACTTAACATGATCCAAGAAAATGAAGTCAAGGTCATATAAACCAAACGAGAAATACATGTACACCTTACAATCATTCAATACACTAAATATAGTTGACCTATTGCTTATAGTTTCTAAGAAACAGACTTAACCAAGAAAACTAAACATTGACCAATGAATCGTGAAAATGAGGTCAAGGTCAGATGAACCATGCCAGGCAGACATGAACAGCTTACAATCCTTCCATACAACAAATATAGCTGACCTATTGCTTATAGTTTAAGAAAAACAGACTGAAACACATAAACTTAACACTGAGCAATGAACTGTGAAAATGAGGTCAAGGTCAAATAAAACCTGCGAGGACTGACATGTACATCATAGAATATTTCCATACACCAAATATAGTTGACTTATTGCATATAGTATAAGAAAAAAGACCAAAACTCAAAAACTTAACTTTGACCACTGAACCATAAAAATGAGGTCAAAGTCAGATGACACCTGCCAGTTGGACATGTACAACTTACAATCATTCCATACACCAAATATAGTAGACCTATTGCATAAAGTATAAGAAAAACGGACCAAAACACAAAAACTTAACTATAACCACTGAACCATGAAAATGAGGTCAAGGTCAGATGATACCTGCCAGCTAGACATGTACACCTTACAATCATTCCATACACCAAATAAAGTAGACCTATTGCATACAGTATAAGAAAAACAGACCAAAACACAAAAACTTAACTATAACCACTGAACCATGAAAATGAGGTCAAGGTCAGATGATACCTGCCAGTTGGACATGTACACCTTACAGTCCTTCCATACACCGAATATACTAGACCTATTGCTTATAGTATCTGAGATATGGACTTGACCACCAAAACTTAACCTTGTTCACTGATCCATGAAATGAGGTCGAGGTCAAGTGAAAACTGTCTGACAGGCATGAGGACCTTGCAAGGTACGCACATACCAAATATAGTTATCCTATTACTTATAATAAGAGAGAATTTAACATTACAAAAATTCTTAACTTTTTTTTCAAGTAGTCACTGAACCATGAAAATGAGGTCAAGGACATTGGACATGTGACTGACGGAAAATTCGTAACATGAGGCATCCATATACAAAGTATGAAGCATCCAGGTCTTCCACCTTCTGAAATATAAAGCTTTTAAGAAGTTAGCTAACGCCGCCGCCGCCGCCGGATCACTATCCATATGTCGAGCTTTCTGCGACAAAAGTCGCAGGCTCGACAAAAATGAGTAATAAATGTTAAGACAGATAGTGACTGTCCCTTTATTCCAAATACAAATATTAAATTATAATAAGTTATTCATAATTATTCAGTATCAGATCTATATTGAATTTATTTGGTGTGTCTCTTGTGCAGTCTTTATATCACAATAACTCTCTATTCATTGGTAACTGTTATGTAAATAAGTTAATAACATCATTATTAAGTACCACAAATGTGTCAGTGGAATGAACTGTCCTTGGTGAACACATAGGAGATGTGTACATTCTTCTGAACTTTCCAGAAAGACGTGTCTGAGAAGACATTAATGAATTTTTTCATATTGCATGTCCTCAGTGGATATATTAAATTGTTAAGCCCCTAACTTCTTAGTACATGTATCATCAATGTAAAAATGATGTTGTTATCAAATTTAACCTGCTATAAAAATTTCAAATGCTATTCTTGGTTTGATATTTTAAAAATAATAGACCACTTTTAAGTTATGCCCTTCACTGGAAAAGTTCATCAATTATGCGCGACTTTATGATGTTATTTACCAGATAGTGGGGACCACCTGTATCCCTGCAATATTAAAGTCCATCAAGTGTCTTTGTGATGGTCATTATTCAAGATAAACTAGAAGTAATGTAGGATAAACTAGAAATAATGTTTGTTCCATAGGCACTTAATCAAAATTCCCTAATGATAGCAGTGATGATTATCAATTATAAGAATTCAAATTGCCAAATAATTCGTGCAGTATAGCATCATATTTTTTCAACCGCTCACTCAACATGCGAAGGAAGTGACGATGCCCCTAAACGCATGAATGATGTTCACTAAAACCAAACTTTTTTGACAGAAATGTAACGAACTCAAAATTGCTTTATTGGTTGTATAGATGACATATCTCCCTTAAATCATAAACTTAATGGAGCTGGGAAAAAACCAAGGCCAAATATGAAGAACATTTAAGATATATTTATTTTTTATTTTCATATGAACTCTTTTTAGCATTTTTTTAATATTTAGAAACTATTTTTTCTTAATCTTTCTTTTCTTCTGGTCTGCCAATTTTCTCTCCTCAATTTCATCTTCATCAAGTACTTTCTTTTTCTTTGGTTCTTTGTGAGGAATTGGTGCTCTTAATCCTGCCAGTTTTATTTCATTTTCATATGTATAGTATGACAATAGTTCTTCCTTTTCTTCCAACTCAATTATTTTCTCTTGAATTTCATCCATTTTCTGTTGCTTGATAAAATCTTTCATCTGTTGATCTAACCAGTTTTGTCTCCTAGTTTCCCAAGATACAATTAAGGATTGTAATTCTGTTATATCTGATTGTTCATACTGTGAAATTTCACTGTTTACATAGTCTGAAATATTTGTTTCCAGGTCATCAGAACTTATCTTATTTTCACTTTGAAGTCTTTCTTTTATTCCCTGTAACGTATACAATAATATAAAGTGGTAACAATTAATGTAGGTCCTATTTTTAGATATTGTTGTTTAGTTTTATCTTTAAAAGTTTTTTCATCCTTGTGAATAACAAATTTTAAGTGAAAACATGTTTCTTGTCATGTATGAGATTAAATAACACGTTGATTATTGTAATTGGTAATCAGGAAGTTGACGAGCAATGGATGTGAACATGCATAACACGTCATGCTCACATGGCTTGTTGTTACCAAATTCCTGGGTGTTCTTCTGATCTGTTGTTCCTGAGGAAAATGACACTGTCATTATTTGGTAAACAGGAATTAGATTTTTTGCACCTACTGAAATTGGCTGCTTGTGAATATTTCTCCTTAATATAAAGGATTTGTGACATCTCAAAGCTCCATACTGTAATTTGTGTATGAACAAGTATATAAGATACAAAGAAATCTAAAAGTATACACAACTTTTACAGGAGATAAAAACAGGTGTAAATAAAACAAATATACCTTCTATAATAAACAGTTCCATTTCTATTGTTTTAATTTCAACTTGATATCTGCCTAAATTATTGAACCATTAATTATTTTACAAGATTACATTGATCATTTATTTCAATTATATGCCTGAATAGTTCTGAACCATTATTAAAACCAGAAACCTATATATCAAACCAAACTGGTAATCAATATCAAAGTACTCATCAGTTGTTTAGCATGACATACCTGCCAATCTTTAATACAATCTTCTTTTTCTGTTGGGGTAAGCTTAAGTTTATGTATTTCATCTTCTATTCTAAGAAGTCCAAAATCTTTTTCTGCTTCCTCTGAGTCCCTCGTTAAAGCATTTTGTAGTAAGTCATCAAATCTGGTTACCTGTTAATAAACATAAATTTTGAAAGAATCATCTAAAAGTTGCTTCTGACAGAATAAATGGATGATGAGGCTAAACTTGTTATTACCGGTATATAGTCACCACTATCATATCCATAAATTTATTTCCACATTTTTGAGTGCCTAGAAAGATATACTGCAGTCATGTGACAAGTTATAGTGAAAGTGTGTAGCTGACACTGGAGGATTGGCAGCTGTTGTCTGTGCTACAGGAGGGATGTTTGGTGAAATAAAGATAGAATAAAGAAACAAATGATGTATGTGTATGTTATACTCTCTGTCAGATGTCAGAGCAAATCAGATTAAAATGATTCTCTCCTTTACTTTAAACCATTATAGTCGATTTCATTATGTTATTGCTTTCTTGAACTAGATACTATGGAAAGAAGATAAATTAAATCTACCGAAGATCTATAGTGGTAAATAAATTATCAATTAATAAATCATATATAGGACAATGGAAATATATTTATTAAAAATTCACAACAAGCTGCTCTGAAAATTTAACACACAAATTTAAGAAACAAGTGTTTCCAATTTGACCAAGAATGTAATACTCAAAATCATGTGCAAAATCATTTCAGCTCAATTTTCAAAATGAGAACAAATTGATACATTCATACATGCAAACTCACCACATCCTGTACAACAATGGTCCCATCTGAAGATGACATCCATTCCTGCAACAATTTCATGGCTTGTGGGAATTTGTCATACATCCCTAATCCCACTAACTGTAATGATCTTCCATCTACACCACCTAACTTTTTACCCAACATATATAATGTCTTCCCATGTAGAAATCTCTCACTCTGAATACTGAAATGGTCGTCATAGAATGGGTAATCTATTACTTTAACTGCTTCCCATTCTTCTTCCTTGTAAAAGTACAAAAATTAAACATATATAATTGACAAGAAAAGTATTTCTAGCAGATATCATACTTCAAACTGCTTATATATTAAGAGATCTTTAATACATTTAGGTTCTCTTCTATTCTAATTTATCTGATGACTCGTTGAGAGAGAATGCCACACTCTCTGAACGCTAAGAACCCTTGAATACAATGCACACCTTGTTGGCACAATTTGACTGAAGACATTAAAGTAACTCAGAAGGGAGATTTTTCAGTTTTAAGTAAAAAATATGCTAACATTAGGAACATTTCGGCTAAATTAACAAATAATTTTTTTTTTGCATAATTATATCATTTCACTGAATTTTCTAGCTGTACAACCCCTAAAAAGGGTAACACTGTTAAAAAACTGCAATGTAATGTTTTATAAAAGTGCCCAGATTCAATATTCCATTCTGCAATCAGACATTTGAAATGCATTTGATTTTTGCACCAAAATTGTACTTTCTTCTTTGTAAGATCTCTTCACAGTTTTTCATATATAAATTAAGGGAGGTTTAACTATTTCTATATACCAAGAATACAAGATGCTGAGATTCAATTATGAACAAGAATGCACATGTTGTCATACTAAGTATTTATACCCCCACTCATAAATCATGTTGTCATACTAAGTTTACTCTCACTCATAAATCAAAGTATTGGAAAACAGGTAGTAGGTGTTTGACAGATCTGAAAAGTGTTCACCACTTTTGAACTCCCCACTGTCAAGCTACTGACCAAATATGTTGTCAATCTTTTCATTAAGACCTGAGAAAAGTGTGATAGAACTCTTTTGGACAAACAGACCAGCAGAGGGAGGAACAAGGTGAATACAATAAAACCCCCACTTTAGGAGTCAGGAATAATATTACAAGTATTCAAGCTTCAAAGAGTTAATAGATACAAGTGTTTAAGCTTCATAGAGTTTATTACAAGTATCGATGCTGTAAGGTAAAGTCATACATACCTCTTCTTCACCCTCTTCAGCCTCTTGATTTGGTGATTCTTGTTCAATTGGATGATATAATAATTTTGTAGTTGAATAGAGTGATAGTAAGTATGTAACTTGGTTACTGAAATCTTCTTGTAACATCATATCATAAGCTATTTGAGATGCCTCTATAAGTATATAACATTCTTTTGTAATCAGAGTGAACATTAATTATATCACATGACATATTAACAGATATTCTCTTATGGTTGTGGCCTGTTATTGATTTCTTGCATGAAGAGATATTTTTCTTATCACGCTGCTAGGAGTGTGATACGAAAGTGATACAAAAATGAATTAATTTGATTGGCTTATTCAGCATCATGAGACGATAATGGGACATTTCCATTGGCTATTATATATATCAACAACATATTTCATTCAGACTGTAACCAAAAGTTATCATGAAATAATATATATCATAATGCACTAGTGCAAATAATGCTTTAAATAAGTAATAACAAGTGACAGAAATAGGTTTTTAAACAGATTTTCAAGCTTTGCTATACAAGAAAAGGATTATTGCATGAATATTGGTGATTATTGTTCCTCATAGAAATATCATATTCTCATGCATTTTTTTTTTACCTTAAAAACAGAAGAACTGACAGATGGATGGACAAGGTGATTGTAATATAGCCCAATGTGGTATAATATAAATTCTTTTATTAAAAGTCTTAAAATTTCAGTTTACTATTTATTGCATTACATGTTATAAGCAAGTTTTAACAACACACTTGCTCAAGACTTAGTATTAAAAATCTAAATAAACTGTTGACACAGAGATATGTTTTGCCTGACGTCATAAAATTCAGAAAAAGACAATCTGATGGACAGCAACATTGCTTATTAATTCAGTCGCTGGACTATGATCTAGTGGGCAGGGCCTGAAAATGGTTGACAAACTGAGATGTACAGACAGTAATGTAACTATATAGAAAATATCATTGTCTATTGTAAGTAGTTCTTATCAATTTAACTTGAGCAGAAAACTTAACATTAAAAATTGCTAATTAATTCAAAGTCACTGAACCATGTCCTAGGGGGCAGGGCCTCGAAATAGTCATCAAACTGATATGTACAGATAGTAATGCAACTTTATACAAAATATCATTGATCTATCACAAGGACTTCTTATCAAACTGACTTTTAGCAAAATGTCAAACTGATATGTACTGATACAAATGTAGTGATGCAACTTTATTGAAAATATCATTGATCTATCACAAGTATTTCCTATCAAACTGACTTAAGCAGAAAACTTAACATTTAAAATTGCTTATTAATTGAAAGTGGCTGGACCATGACCTAGGGGGCAGGGCCTCGAAATAGTTGTCAAACTGATGTGAACTGATAGTAATGCAACTTCGTACAAAATATCATTGATCTATCCTATCAAACTAACTTAAGCAGAAAACTTAACAATTGTTGACGCTGGTCATTGCCAGAAAAGCAATCGCTATGTCTCGCTTTCCGCAACTTTCTTCAAAGGCGAGACAAAAATGGAAGGCAATAATTTGAAAAATTGTTCTACCACTCTTGCATATCTTACCCCAACTTATCCACTACCCAGAAACAACTATTCCCTTTAGCTAAAACACACAAAACATAAAAAATAATATATTTTTTTAATTCAAGACCACATTATTTACTACATGACTGTTACTCACCATGATACATTTCTTTCTTTATAAAATGATCCATCAAAATATTAGCTGATAAAAAATCTAAATGTAAACCATATGTTATCTGAAAATACAAAACTTAAAATAAATAATGGAAATATAATATGTTTTAAATTTCTACATACTAGTGAAATACTAGCTGTGTAGCAAATTCTTCAAATAAAAATAAATTTCAAAAGAAAGAAATTAACATTATATATAGCTATATCAGTGGGATACTTTTCAAGAAAATCATTTTTCAAGCTTCCCACTCCACAATAATATCAATAGTTAAATCTGTATGATTGAACTTAGTAAAAAATATATTTCACAATATTCTACAAATAAATATTTACATCTTTAATATTAAAATTTCTTAAACATTTTATTTTCAAAGTATAATGTTATTTTAAAATATTTTGATATCAGTCTATTCAGGTTTTATGATAACCTGATCATTACTTTTGTCATTAAGATAATATGGAAAGGTTTTAAAACTTGAATGTTTACTATATCCTTTCTGTTCTGTAAAAATTTTTGTTTGCTTTAACAAATTTGAACATCTTGTATTTATACTTGACTATCCACCATAAATTTGAACATCTTGTATTTATACTTGACTATCCACCATAAATTTGAACATCTTGTATTTATACTTGACTATCCACCATAGACAGTAATAGTGAATATAAAATATAAATGTAGTTTAAAAGTTATTGTAATATTACCTTGTCTTTTATCATTGGTAATAAACTGTCCGTTAAGTTAGTGTCTATATATCCTCGTACAATACCGTGAATGATAGACCGACTAACTTGTGATCCATCTGCAGTCTCTCTAAATCTACAAAACAAAAAAAATTCACAAATAAATTATTATTTTAGGTTGTACCAACACTTTCATGACTTTATCCCATTCATAAATAGATATACGAACAATGATGTCTTAATTGTGTGAATTTGTGTTAAAGACTTAAGAATTGGTAACACCAAAAGTATTTCATATTAGAAACAAATAATTATGTGTTGTTGTATCATACAATTGTTAATTTGTTACCATATATTCTTCTGTTTAAAATTTTGGAGATCAATCAGTTTCTACAAATATGTGCAATACATATTACCCTTAAATGAAGCAATAAGTTAACACTGAATATGAGAGGCTTTTTTATACCATTATACAATTATGAAACAACTTATATACAAAATTAAGTAACAAAGATATATGCAAATTTTACTTTTGAAGGGAATTACCCAATTTTACTGTTTTGACTATTTTAACCTACAGTTTTGGGTTGTAATTTAAAAGAACCAAAATTTGTCTTCCCACTTTCTCGCCAAAAATAGGTAAAAGTTGATTAAATAAGTGAAAATATTTATAGTAACCATTAAAATCTCCTAAAAATTGACTCCTTCTTAGACAAACATTATTTGCTTGTCAAAAATTGTCTTGTCTTCTTTCGAGTATGTCCTATCAGGATTTAGCTTAGTAGTTGGAGAAGTACCTCAATATATGAAAAAATACTTTTTATTAAGGGAGATTATTACGAAAAGTGATATACATCTGAAGAGCATTGAGGACCCAAAAATCCGAAAGGTTTTGCCAAATAAAGCTAAGGTAATCTATTCCTGGGGGAGAAAATCCTGAGTATTTCGAAAAAATTTCAAAGTTTTGTAAACAGTTAATTTATATTTATGACCATATCAATGAAAATTCATGTCAACACTGAAGTACTGACAAAGGTGAATTAAATTGACAAACCCAAAAATTATGTATCCACATTCCACACCTCAAAACATTACCTGCTACTTAAAAACTAGAGGCTCTCAAGAGCCTGTGTCGCTCACCTGTATATACTGTGGTTTTGGAAATCATGTAAAATAAAGTTAGAATCATATAGATACACTAATAATGATTGAGGCCAAGTTTGGTTTAATTTGGCCCAGTAGTTAAATTAAAAGCAGAAGATTTTTGAAAAGATTTACAAAAATTACCAATAAATTGCAGAAAATAATTTTAAAGGACAATAACTCCAATAAGATGTCAATTGCCAATTGGTCATGTTAACTTATGTGTAGATCTTTCTTTGCTGTTTACAGTATATCTCAATCTAAAATGATATTCAAGATAATTAACAAAAAATAAAAAATTTCCTTTCCTCCACTCTAAAATTTATTTCACCCAGGGCTTGTATAATGCTGAAAATGCCTTTAAATGTTTTTTATGGAACACCCTTCAAAAAAAATTTGGGCAGGGGTTCCCCTGACCCCGACTAACCCGCTGGGTCTTGAACACAAGTTATTGTCTGGAAACTAGAACTAGAGGCTCTAAAGAGCCTGTGTCGCTCACCTTGGTCTATATGCATATTAAACAAAGGACACAGATGGATTCATGACAAAATTGTGTTTTGGTGATGGTGATGTGTTTTGGTGATGGTGATGTGTTTGTAGATCTTACTTTACTGAACATTCTTGCTCCTTACTATTATCTCTATCTATAATGAACTTGGCCCGGTAGATACAGTGGAAAATACTTTGTAAAAATTTACAAAAATTTATGAAAATTGTAAAAAATTGACTATAAAGGGCAATAACTCCTTAAGGGGTCAATTGACAATTTTGGTCATGTTGCCTTATTTGTAGATCTAACTTTGCTGTACATTATTGCTGTTTACAGTTTATCTCTATCTATAATAATATTCAAGATAATAACCAAAAGCTGCAAAATTTTCTTTAAATTACCAATTCAGGGGCAGCAACCCAACAATGTGTTGCCTGATTGGTCTGAAAATTTCAGGGCAGATAGATCTTGACCTAATGAACAATTTTACCCCCATGTCAGATTTGCTCTAAATGCTTTGGTTTCAGAGATATGAGCCAAAAACTGCATTTTACCCTATGTACTATTTTTTAGCCATATCGGCCATCTTGGTTCGCGGGCAGGGTCATCGGACACATTTTTTAAACTAAATACCCCAATGATGATTGTGGACAAGTTTGGTTAAATTTGTCTAAGTAGTTTCAGAGGAGAAGATTTTTGTAAAAAATTACAAAAATTTACGAAAAATGGTTAAAAATTGACTATAAAGGGCAATAACTCCTTAAGGGGTCGACTGACAATTTTGGTCAAGTTGACTTATTTGTAGATCTTACTTTGCTGAACATTATTGCTGTTTACAGTTTATCTCTATCTATAATAATATTCAAGATAATAACCAAAAACGGCAAAATTTCCTTAAAATTACCAATTCAGGGGCAGCAACCCAACAACGGGTTGCCTGATTGGTAAGAAAATTTCAGGGCAGATAGATCTTGACCTAATGAACAAGTTTATACTCATCAGATTTGCTCTTAATGCTTTGGTTTCAGAGATATGAGCCAAAAACTGCATTTTACCCTATGTACTATTTTTTAGCCATGTCGGCCATCTTGGTTCACAGGCGGGGTCATCGGACACATTTTTTAAACAAGATACCCTAATGATGATTGTGGACAAGTTTGGTTAAATTTGTTTTAGTAGTTTCAGAGGAGAAGATTTTTGTAAAAGATTACAAAAATTTACGAAAAATGGTTAAAAATTGACTATAAAGGGCAATAACTCCTTAAGGGGTCAACTGACCATTTTGGTCAAGTTGACTTATTTGTAGATCTTACTTTGCTGAACATTATTGCTGTTTACAGTTTATCTCTATCTATAATAATATTCAAGATAATAACCAAAAACGGAAAAATTTCCTTAAAATTACCAATTCAGGGGCAGCAACCCAACAACAGATTGTCCGATTCATCTGAAAATTTCAGGGCAGATAGATCTTGACCTAATAAACAATTTTACCCCATGTCAGATTTGCTCTAAATGCTTTGGTTTCAGAGATATAAGCCAAAATCTACATTTTACCCCTATGTTCTATTTTTAGCCATGGCGGCCATCTTGGTTGGTTGGCCGGGTCACCGGACACATTTTTTAAACTAGATACCCCAATGATGATTGTGGCCAAGTTTGGTCAAATTTGGCCCAGTAGTTTCAGAGGAGAAGATTTTTGTAAAAGTTTACGGACGACGGACGACGGACGACGGACGCAGGACGACGGACGCAGGACGACGGACGACGGACGCAAAGTGATGAGAAAAGCTCACTTGACCTTTCAGGTCAGGTGAGCTAAAAATGTGTTTTTTGGCCCCTTTTTGGCCCCAAATTCCTAAACATTTAGGGAAATTACCCCAAAACTCAAACCCAGCTTTCCCTTTGTGATATGGAACCTTGTAGTACAATTTCAGAAAGATCCATACACTTACACACAAGTTATTGTCCTGAAACTAGAAAAATGCTTGTTTTTTGCCCCTTTTTGGCCCCTTATTCCTAAAATATTGAGGCAATTACCCCCATCATCAATCCCAGCCTTCCCTTTGTGGTATGGTACCTTGCAGTACAATTTCAGAGAGATCCATACACTTGAACACAAGTTATTGTCTGGAAACTAGAAAAATGCTTATTTTTGGCCCCTTTTTGGCCCCCAATTCCTAAAAGTTTCAACAATGACCCCCAAACTCAATTCCAGCTTTCCCTTTGTGATATGGAACCTTGTAGTACAATTTCAGAAAGATCCATACACTTACACACAAGTTATTGTCATGAAACTAGAAAAATGCTTGTTTTTTGCCCCTTTTTTGGCCCCTAATTCCTACAATTTTGAGGCAATTACCCCCAAAATCAATCCCAGCATTCCTTTTGTGATATGGAACCTTGTGGTACAATGTCAGAGAGATCCATACACTAACACACAAGTTATGTCTGGAAGTTACAAAAATGCTTATTTTTGGCCCCTTTTTGGCCCCTAATTCCTTTACTGTTGGTACCATAACCCCCAAAATCAATCCCAACCTTCCTTTTGTGGTATTGAACCTTGTGGTAAAATTTCATAGAGATCCATTCACTTAAACTAAAGTTAGAGTGCGAAAACCAATGTGTCTTCGGACGACGACGACGACGACGACGCCGCCAACGTCATACCAATATACGACCACAAAAATTTTTTTGCAGTCGTATAAAAATCACTTTTTTTCATATGTTTGTCATATAAAATTTTGATATTTTCTATTGCAATCTTAAACTGTTGTTGTAAAATAATCAAATATACAATAAGCTCTGTTAATTTCTTTATATCCCCATGCCATATCTAGGAACTGTGATTTTTAGAATTTTTTTCCATTTGTAACTGGGCATAACCCTAACCACAACAGTAAAATGACGGCACCAAAATTCAAACTTGATCTTGGTTTTGTGGTTAAAAGTACTGTGTATAAGTTTCGTGACATTTGGTTGAGGCAAACTGAAGTTGAAATGAAGTTAGAGCACGGAAAAAATCGTAAGTGGTCTGCGGAACCTGGTATATCGCCTACTTTTGCTGTTAATCAACAAAAATGAGGAAAAAAATTAAAAAACAATATTACTCTCTATACTATCTTTTAATTGTAAGAAGCATCTGTCCAAGTTTGGTAAAAATCCAGGATAGTTTATGAATCTAATTCTATTAATAAGTAAAATACGGAAAAACAAGAACAAAAATTTAAACTAAATTTCTTTCCAGATACTAGCTTTTGATCATAAACAAGCTTCTGTCCAAGTTTGGTACAAATCCAGGATAGTTTAAGAAAGTTATTAAAATTTTAAAAATTTTAGCCACAGAGTGAATGTTTCCTGGCAGAATAACTAAGTCCAAGGCCATTTATAAGTAAAATACTGATAAAATGGATTTTTTTTTACAAAATTTACTTCTGGATACTATGTATCATATGATCATAAACAAGCTTCTGTCCAAGTTTGGTAGAAATCCAGGATAGTTTAAGAAAGTTATTAAAATTTCAAAAACTTTAACCAAAGAGTGAATATTTGTGGACGCCGCAGACAAAATGTAGGATCTCTATGTCTCGCTTTTTCGACAAAAGTCGTTGGCTCGACAACAATCACACAATTTTTGAATTTATAAAGGGGCATAACTCTAGAACAGTAAAACTGACACAACCATAACCCAAATTTAATCAGTATTTTGTGATAATGAGCAATGTGTATAAGTTTCATAACATTTGGTTGAGACAAACTAAAGTTAGAGATCGTAAACAAAAATATTCAAGCAACTTTTCCATTTGTTAAGGAGCATAACTCATAGAATTGTAAAATTGACGCCTCCAAAGTTCAACTTGACCTGTGTTTTGTGGAATTAAGTATTGCCTATAAGTTTCATACAATTTGGTTTAGGAAAACTAAAAGTTAGAGACCAGAAACCAATTTTTGGATGTACGGCAAATATGTACAAGTAAGGGACGTACACACTTACAGAAGAAAAGGGTAAAACTTAATATGGTGGGGACATAACAATAGCAGTATGACGACAGGAATAAAAAGTTTATATGCACTAGATTCATAGAGGTGCTTATAACCCTGTAACACATTTTACAGTTGCTGTGAAATTAAGCATTGAGGCAATAACATTTGAGATTTTTGGTTCGTCATAATTATTTGGACTATAGCACTAAGAGTAAGAAAGTCATTTTGCTATTACATGGACAGATTTTATTTAATCATGTAAATAATTGCTACAGCACTTGTCTTGATACACTGAGTTATTCTAAGTAGAAGCAGACTTGTCTGCCTTATCCTTGTAACGATATGTGTACAAATGTAATTGTTAATCGTAACACTGAGGAGGCTGTGATATGTACGAACTGTCGTTGAGTCAATGTTTTTCAGCTGTCAGTGTGATCCACGTGACTGAGCATGCTGGACGAGTGAAGGTCCTTAAATCCACATTGAAATGTGAAATAACTAGTATTTAAATAGCGGAAATTAAAAGTTTTCAAATGTTTTTGGCATCAAAACCTTCCGATCGATGTTTTATGAATGAAACGCTGTCTCGCGTAGATTTCTTTTGATTTTCTCTTCAGCGAATGGAAAATCCGCAAAGTAGTGTTTGTGATACTCATTTTCAAAATAAAGTTAAATTCACCTGAATTGTCGGTGAACATTCATTCTATTTTATTCAAATTGTAATCTTTTCAAAAGGACTAAAAATTTCAAAAGCATCGTCCTAGAATCCGTATTCAAACACTAGTACTACATTATGTCGGAGCAGAACATTTGCGATAGTCTGTCACCGGAAGTTTGAGGCCGACGCCTAAGGAAAGTATTGCTATAGCAAACTTCCCAAAAATTTGTTAAAAACAAATGTGATACAGTGAATAGATTTTGTCATTTTCTGAAAGCTGTTGTTTCAGTTTTAAAGAAACTGCTTTACATGCATTATTTTTAATATAGGACATTCAAATTAGCCATGTTTGAGCCAAAAAGGATTTTTCTGCCTCTTGTCCTTTTCCAAGAATCGGAGTGTAAGATCAATTTTAGGACTGGAAGCAAATTCCTGTTTTGAGACAATTTTTTTATAAGAACTATATTATGTATTAGACAGTCATTGTGAAACTGTAACATGATATTCAGTTAAATGGTAGGTTATGGAATTGCTTTCAATTCTGTCTGTTTGGATAAATACATACTGTTGTAAAATTCTATCCATAAATTCCACTTCTTTGTCATGCACATTCTCAATTTTATTGGCCAGCTGAAAATGGAGTAAAATATGGTGTTAAAAGTAACAGATCTATTTCATTAAATCATTGCAATATACATAATGTAATATTTTGAAGACTGTTGTTTGTCTTCTCATAGTTTTTATACGACCACAAAAAAAATTTGCGGTCGTATATTGGTATGACGTTGGTGTCGGCGTCGGTGTCGTTGTCGCCGTCCGAAGACACATTGGTTTTCGCACTCTAACTTTAGTTTAAGTGAATGGATCTCTATGAAATTTTACCATAAGGTTCAATACCACAAAAGGAAGGTTGGGATTGATTTTGGGTTTTTGGTACCAACAGTTAAGGAAATAGGGGCCAAAATTAAGCATTTTTGTAACTTCCAGACATAACTTGTGTGTTAGTGTATGGATCTCTCTGACATTGTACCACAAGGTTCCATATCACAAAGGGAATGCTGGGATGGATTTTGGGGGTAATTGCCTCAACATTTTAGGAATTAGGGGCCAAAAAAGGGGCAAAAAAACAAGCATTTTTTTTAGTTTCATGACAAAAACTTGTGTGTAAGTGTATGGATCTTTCTGAAATTGTACTACAAGGCTCCATATCACAAAGGGAAAGCTGGAATTGAGTTTGGGGGTAATTGCCCAAAACGTTTAGGAATAAGGGGCCAAAAATAAGCATTTTTCTAGTTTCCAGACAATAACTTGTGTTCAAGTGTATGGATCTCCCTGAAATTGTACTGCAAGGTACCATACCACAAAGGGAAGGCTGGGATTGATTTTGGGGGTAATTGCCTCAAAATTTTAGGAATTAGGGGCCAAAAAGGGGCAAAAAAAGAAGCATTTTTCTAGTTTCAGGACAATAACTTGTGTGTAAGTGTATGGATCTTTATGAAATTGTACTACAAGGTTCCATATCACAAAGGGAAAGCTGGGTTTGAGTTTGGGGGTAATTGCCCTAAACGTTTAGGAATTTGGGGCCAAAAACAAGCATTTTTCTAGTTTCCAGACAATAGCTTGTGTTCAAGTGTATGGATCTCTCTGAAATTGTACTGCAAGGTACCATACCACAAAGGGAAGGCTGGGATTGAGTTTGGGTGTGATGAATCATAAGGGGGTTCAAAAAATTTGGGGGGGGGGGATTTTTTTTTCCTTTAAAATTTTCCATTTTAAATTGATTATTTCTGATTTATATATAAAAGCAAATAATAATGATATGGTTTGAATAGGTAAATTAAAATTTTTTTAAGTTCTTGGACCACATTCATTCTGTGTCAGAAACCTACGCTATGTCCAATATTAAATCACAATCCAAATTCAGAGCTGTATCAAGCTTGAATGTTGTGTCCATACTTGCCCCAACTGTTCAGGGTTCGACCTCTGCGGTCGTATCAAGCTGCGCCCAGCGGAGCTTTTTATTGTTTTTTGCAATGGTATTCTCGGTTTCTCTTTGTCTTATGATTTTTTATTGTCCTTTGGATTAATCTGCCTTTTTGGTGAAATTTATATTAAAAATATTTTATATATATATGTAGGGCTCTAAAGTGCGATAATCTGCGCTAAAGTGCGATGCCTCCATACGCTAAAGTCTGATGGTCCGCGAAAGTATAGACATAAGAAACGTAGTTGGATAATGACGTTAACAGTCGTTATATACAAACCAAAAATGAATATGCCGGAAGATAAATTAAGAATATTTGATTAACAACTTTTAAATCAAATGTCAATGACTTAATTTCAGACCTAACCGTGCTTTGTCGGCTGAAGAAAATGTGTTTTTTTGGGGTGCTGGAAGAAGGACTTGTGTCCTGCAGTCGACCATTTTACTATATAAATACAAAATAGTATATGCATAGGTATCCTGTATCCTGCTTCTATTGGAAGCGAACGGATACATTTAAATCATATGATTTGTTTACGTTGCAGTTTACTTTGCTGTCCCCATAAAAAATATTGTCAGTCGATTTTATTGAAAAGTAACGTCGATAAAATAAAGGTAAAATTGAGAATGGAAATGGGGAATGTGTCAAAGAGACAACAACCCGACCACAGAACAGACAACAGCAGAAGGCCACCATCAGGTCTTCAATGCAGCGAGAAATTCCCGCACCCGGAGGCGTCCTTCAGCTGGCCCCTAAACAAATATATATACTAGTTTAGTGATAATGAAGGTACATGTTTTTTAAGCGTAAATTATAAATTGTCGGTTAAAACATAGCTTGTTCAGTGTAGGAAAATATGACATGTATTTGTGAAAAAGGAGAAAGCTCTGCGAATATCGCATTTTTCTCGCATTTAAGCTTGAAGCCTTGTATCAATAAATGCTAACTTACTTATTCCAACAATGAATGCATTTTGTATTTGTAATTTACAATGACGACTGTAAAGTTATTGATAGACTTTGTGAGCGGCAAGCTACACCAATTATCCAAATATTTAATACGAAAGAAATTGTTGAAAAATCATTTAACAAGAAATACAGTATTTTGTAACACATAAATTACCTTTTTAGCAAGGATTACGTGGTCGGTCTTCTAAATTTAGAAACAATCACTTTAGCCTACCGGTCAATCATAAAGCCTATTACATATGTTATACCTTAGCATACTAGCTTTTGAAAAAAGGGTTGTTTTTAACATCCATGCACTTTACTGAATGTTTTAAGCCCTCGAACCTTACCCTAGTGTTCCATCGCACTTTAGCGTGCTATACCATCGTACTTTAGCAAACTAGCAATCATCGCACTTTAGTGTGAGACACCATCGTACTTTAGCATAGACCATCGCACTTTAGCGTGACCATCGCACTTTAGAGTACCATCACACTTTAGAGTCCTACATATATATATATACTAAAAGGAAAAAATAAATCTACAGTAGTTTTAATTATCAAATACAATTTTTTCTCCTACATTTCTGATTCTATAGCTCATTTCAGAGGAAATTCAATTGAAATATTTCCAATGAATTTCATGTTTTTTTCACTAGAAAATTTAGAACTTATTACCTATGTATTCATAGGTGGATCCTGGGGGGCCCGCCCCCCCACCCTTTCGTGGGAAAAATTTGGTTGATTTTATAGAGAATCACTGAAGCATGACTGGAGCGGGGCCCCCCCCTTAGGTCAGTCAGCAGGCCCCCCCTTATGAAAAGTTCTGGAGACGCCACTGGTATTTACTAGATATTTTATAATGTCTTATGTTCCTCTTGTACTTACTATATCAAGATCAAGTATATTTCCTTTTCCTTTTTCAAACTTATTATACACATCTAATATAAACTCATCTGAAATAAAAAGGAAATCATGATGCAAGTACATATTCCTGCAAAATAATTTTCTCCTTGTATAATGTTGTAACATGAAATATTGATGAGAAAAGTTATGATGAGATAAACATGTAATACATGTATCTCATATATTAAATAAAACAAAAAACTGAGGCCCCAAACCATGGTCATCAAAATATCTTTGTTATAGGCTTATAGCAAAGCATTCATAAGTACTGAGTCAGACATGGCAATCAGGAAAATGCATTGTACATGTTTTACAAGAATGAAATAACAGGCACCTGTTTGATTACAGTCAAATAATTCTGTATAAATTTATTTTTTATAACAAAGACTCTGATTTTTCTTACTAACAAGAAACCTGGCATGGATTTCTGACAGTATTTCCTTGTACTTACTGAATGCTACTTTAGATAAAATAGGAGACTGTAGCCTGTTCATCCAGGCATCATGGCATCTGTAGGCATCAGATAATAATGTTCTGCATACATCTACAATATCAAATTTCAACATTATGTAATATAAACTGTTAACACGGAGATATGTCTTGCTTTTTTGTTATTTTGATAGTAAAGTGCAAATGTTGAAATTAAAATCAAAGTGCTTGTAAGCACTGAAGGGTAAAGATTGCTTTAATTTATAAGTGGGAAGTAAAATTAAATATTGCATTTTAAAAATCATTGGTTATAGTTGAATCAACTACAATTCTGGACAAAGGAAGATAACTCCAATTTTTAAAGATGACTTTAACAATGACATCATTGATATTTTTAGAACAGATATTGATTCCTGCACCTTGCAAAAGTTATGTAACTTTCTTTACAAGTATAACATCATTTTGTGACTTGAATATCTGAGCTTATTTTTCATTGATAAATTTCTGGAAATGTTCATGGATAGGATGTATAGAATGTTATGATCAATGCACTATATTTTGTGTATCTAAAAGGTAGTGATAAACCTTAGAAGATTTAGATATCTAGTCAGTACCATAGGATTTTGATTGCATTTCATACAATCTTTTCCCAATAACAATACTTTAACATGTAAGTTATGCAAAATATTCAAAGTTGATGAACCATGACTAAATATACAGGGACAAACAATCTCCGTGAAAAATGAGATGTGCCAATGTTAATACAACTGCATATCAAATATCATTGACCTATCGCTAGTGGTTCCCCATAAACTGACCTAATCACAAACTAATACATTGTTGACGCAGTCGCCCCCACAACCGACACCAGAAGCAGCATACCTATGTCTCGCTTTTTCACTCTGTCATGCGAAACAATTTTTTTTAGATGTGGTATGATTGCCAATATGATAACTATCAACCAGAGTTCAAATGACAGTGGTGTAATAACAGTACAACATAAGAACAAACTATAAAAATTGGTTGAAAAGGGCTAAATAACTCATCAGATCTATACAAATTGAAAGCAGAAAATTTAAGAAATACACTGACCAGATGTGGCAGGGTATTTTTACATCCCTAAATACAAACAATAAGCGTAAATAGTTTCTGACATACGGCGTGACATGCGAAAAACCCCCTTTTTTTTTTTTACAAAAAACTCAATATCTCTAAAATAAAATTTTGAATCAAAACCAAAAAGTATACAGATCTTTAGATTAATATAACTAAGAAGTGTGTAAAATTTTAAGCAATAATCATAAATCGTTTTTGAGATACGGCGCGACATGTGAAAAACCCCTCCCCCTTTTTTTACAAAATACTCAATAACTCAAAAATAAAATTTTGAATCATCACCAAAAAGTATACAGATCTTAAGGTTAATATAACTAAGAAGTGTGTAAAGTTTTAAGCAATAATCATAAACTGTTTTTGAGATACGGCGCGACATGTGAAAAACCCCTCCCCCTTTTTTAACAAAATACTCAATATCTCTAAAATAAAATTTTGAATCATCACCAAAAAGTATACAGATCTTAAGATTAATATAACTAAGAAGTGTGTAAAGTTTTAAGCAATAATCATAAATTGTTTTTGAGATACGGCGCGACATGTGAAAAAACACACACACCTGTTTTAGTTACTAAGTCCCGTAACTCAAAAAGTTTTAATCTTATTTTCACCAAAAAGTATACAGATCGTTTGACCATCATAAGAAACAACTATATTAAGTTTCATGAAATTTGGATAAGTCATTCTCAAGTTACGGTGCGACATGTTTACGCCGGACAGACAGACGGACAGACAGACGGACGGACGCCGGACATTTGTATACCATAATACGTCCCGTCAAAAATTTGACGGGCGTATAAAAAGACATACAGTACAAATCTGAGAGTACTCACAGTTACTGACAGCTAGTTCAAAGCCAATAACAACTAATAAAAGAATCATGTATCTAAGACTAAAAGTCACTTTCACTAGTGCCGTTGTTCGGAAATTGTAAAAAAAAAAATTTCCAGACAGAAAACTGCTTTTTAAAATTAAATGAAGTTTTAAAGTAAACTTATTCATGACAATATAGATCTTCAATGATAATAATGTTGATGTGAACCGAAGCTGCATTTCTTGACATAACAATCCAATTGTACTTTTTCAGCATTTAATTTATATTTATTACAATATCTGTCACATTATATTATAATGTATCATGTGTGTTGCTTATGTAGTGTATGTATCTAATTATAATTGTTGCTTTAAGACCTTGATTTGAATATTAAATATTTGAATTTTAATTATTCAAATTTATACAAGAAAAGAAAACAATGGAATAGAAACCCTAACTTGATAAAAGCCATATAGGTGTAATACCACCAAATCATAGTACGTCACATCAGGTTGCATACGAAAAAGGGTCGAAAAAATAATCCCTTGGATTTGACAGTTGTAGGAAATTAATCCTACATTTCATTGCAGAAATTACAGTAAACAAATTTTCTAAGTCATAAACATATATCTTGGGTGTTTCAAAGCACCATTATTTTTTTATTTAGTGTTTCTATAGAATATTTTGGGAACTTGAGGTTACATGGTTACTATAGCTTGTACACAGGAAAGAAAGGGGTGAAAATTTGATTGGTTAACTTCCAGTGTGATGGTTATTTTCTTATACGCAATGAAATGTTATGTGAAACTTTGTCTATAGTATTGGACAGGATAAAACTTTACTCATGCCAAGTATTTCTTTATTTGAAAAAAAGATAAATTCTGCACAATTTTTTGAACAGTGCAAATTTAACAAAGACTAATAGGGGAACATCAATGGTGGTATTACACCTATAATCAGTCAAGGGTGTAACTTGAATAAGTTATTAGTGAAAAATAACATACATGTGTTATTATGGATACTTTCTCTAAATCTGTAGTAACATATGTTTGTTATTAGTTAAATGTACCATAAAAAATTTTATTTTCAGTGGGCACTTGGGAATTCTTGAAACTTGCACAGTAACTTAATACATAACCTTGAAAACTAATTTTCCAATTCAATTAATACATTTTTGATCAACCATGGTAAATCAATGAGACAAGGCTTTTAAGTGATAACTTTAGCTGTAATAACAAGGCTTAGTTATTACAGGCATTGAACTTATTACATGAGACACTAGGAATCTTGTGCAGAACCTCATTACATGCTCTTATCATTATTTATTACAATAAATTAAAATACATTGTGATATATGTAGGAGAAAAGGCTTTGAAGAGATATAGAGAAGCTGTAATAACACCCTTTAGTTATGACAGGCATATTTTTTCTGTAATAACATCGGTGTGTTATGCATGATTGGCAAACTATGGGCTGTTATATCTTTCTAAAGTTTAATATACATAAAGACAATTATAATATCAATAGAACTAGTACACAATTTAACAAAATAAAGGATGTATAATGCCCCTTTGACACATGTAACATACATATGTTATCACAGATTTTTGATTTTTTAGCCCTCAATAACAAATGTATGTTATTTTTCTCTAATAACTTATTTAAGTTAGACCCTTGACTGATAATAAGTATACTTTTTATAATAGAATACATTTTTCTACGTCAGAGAATCAATGCAGTTGTTTCAAAATAAAATCGCTGCCTCAAAAATCAATCAAGAGTAGTCCAAATACATGTATACCAAAATTTAATGAATAAATGTTTATGCATTTTGTAGTATAATTTGGGAGTTATTGTGGTTTTCTGAAGTGAAAACTATGACACTTTCTAATGAATTTTGTGAGCAGCCAAATAAGGAAACAGCTCCTCTCAGAATTCCAAAAGGGATTACTCAAACTGTTTGATTTGGTGTTCTCCTTCTGCATTAGATGTTGAATTTGGTTTGTGTAACTAAACAGGTTGGCACTGCCTGATTTTCTCATTTTACTTGATGATGGTTTGTGAACAATTACTGCCTTTTAGCTGTTTAGGACCACAGCAACCAGCAGCCTGTTAACCATGTCAATGCAGACTTGTATATATGAGTTTTTGGATAGTCATCTTTAACTACAAAAAGCTTGTACAAACACCAAAACACCAGAATACAGATTCCCACGACAATCTTCAGACACTTCTCCAGCACCCAGGCTGCCTGACGGTGCATGCAGTCACCAACCAAGCTGCGGAACCATAGCCTTAGGTCCATAGTCCGCAAATTGTAAAATAAATTCATAAGGACCTAAGAATAAATAATTATGACGTTTTTCAAAGGCTGTTTTAATTTTTTGCTGTGACACCTTCCAACAGCGTAGGAAGGAATCACAGCAAAAAATTCAAATAGCCTTTCAAGAATCATAATACTTCTACTTTGTAGTGACCGCCTTCCACACGTTGAAGTTTATGTCACTTGTACATTGCATGGCTTAGTGGAGACTACACAATGTATATACAGTGTAATTATTTGGACTATCACCAACCAAAAAGGCTTATATAGCCATTTCAGGAGATAACATGACACGACTCCTTAGCTTTAATGACTGAGACGTAATTGGATGCATGAACTAAATGCTAATTATAAGTTGTATGCAAAATATTTTCAGATTCAGAGGTCAAACCTATTTTGTCTGAGAGTTAGGTAAGTGGTAGTGTAAAAAAGGGGGGATGCAAACATAAATGAAATATGCAAATTGTTCCAACCATTTGAAAGTGTTTTGTTGTTCTATATTGTCGTTTTTACCTTTAGAGGCACATATAGGCCTAGAAAACTGTTTCACATGTGCGCAAAGACGGCACAGGGTTGACATTTTTCAGCTAAACGCTTTGTTGTTACTTTTTCATTTGACACAAACATTTCTGTGCCCTTGACAAGAAGATTCTAAAAATCGGTATGTGACGGTTATGTTACGATAATATTCCGAATATATATTTCACAGTCCTACTTGTACAATCTGTCGATACCTATATTTTGGCATTGCACAAGGTCGTGTTTTTCTCTGTTAATGACGTCTTTACACTAAATCCATTGGATGTTGGATGTTTTCTGATTGATATTTAAGTCTTAGATATACTTGATTTTTTATTAGTTTGTTTTGGCTTTGAACTAACTCAATTTCATTTAATGCGAGTACTCTCAGATCTGAACTTTGCGTCATTTGTGTTTTTATTATTTTTTTGTGCTTTGTATCGATCTGATGAGTTAAGCCCTTTTCGGCTATTTTTATAGTTTGTTCTTATGCTGTACATGCTGTTACACCACTATCCTTGTTTTTTAGGGGAGACTGGCACCCGCACAGCAAACATGTTTCCATGCCAAGAAATTGCCTCCGTTGAAATTTGGCAAACATCCCATAGAGCAAATTACATGGATGATTAATTTTGACCATTTGGTATATGGCTGTGTTTTAAGTGAGACGTACACGTGGGTCATAAATTAATTTATTGAATGAAATCAAATCTTTAACTTCTAATGGATGCCGTGGGAGGTCGACCGGAATTTTTAGCGAGGATTTCTTAGCATGCCTCATTTAACATATATTTCCTTGATATTTATGACCCACCCTCAATATGTCTTTATGTCTTTTCTGTATAACAACATACTTGTAATCAATCTCATTATAAATCTGGAAATTTTTAAAGTAATAATTTTTTGGTTCATTTCTTGCCATATATTTACACTACTGTAAGTGTTTACAAAGACTTGGATTCCATAAACTAAAGTCAGAGATACATGCACTTAGTCTATTTTTTTTTTTTACATCTGGGAAGATCCTTTGGCGATTTTGAAGTTTTTTATTATAAAATTTTAATTTATTTATAAATAGCTAGCTGCTATGGAAATAAACTATAAGTAAATTTGAATTTTTAACATTTTTGAATTGTGTGGTGTTTTGTGTTTTAGTCAACTTTGTTAAAATCCATATTGTTTTAATTGATGAACTTTACTTCCATCGTACTTTAAAAACTCATAATTCAGGCAAAATGTTGTGTAGCTGTTGCCATGGCAATGCACATTATACAGGGAAAATAATGAATTTTACTCATCTAGCTACCTGTGTTCTCATTATAATTTAGGACCAAAAAAATGAATTTAGTGACATTGTCATGTATCCCCCACTGCATGATGCTTACAAAGATATGTAATTAAATGCTTTTGCCAATAGCATGCATAGTTTACAAGAGTACAATGCAGGTTCTTGGAGCCTCATATGGTTTTAAGTTTTAGTATTAGATACAGAACAAAGGTAAAACTGGCCGTTAACAACCGTTGCCGTATACTTTTTCTGCACGAGTAGTCAGGTAAAGTCCGAGGCGATAGCCGAGGACCTTGACCGGACTACAAGTGCAGAAAATAACGGCTGGTTGTTACCATCCAGTTTATTTTGTTACTTTTGTCAGAGACATATATACATGTATATATGTCTCTGCTTTTGTTTTGTATCTGACTTGTACGACGTTTTTAATTAGAAAATTACACAAATTTGAGACGATTGCACCATAATGAAAAAGATTAAACACAAAAAAAAATTAAAAAAAAATGCGTACTGGTTTATGTATCAAGATGTTTGGAGATTTAGTCTTTAATAAATTAGGGATTTTGCGTTAACACTAGCGCTTCTCAATTCTATCAGCTATGTGCGAGTAAAATTTTTGCTTATTCCTTTTATACATATCAGTGAAGTAGGACTAGAAAAGTTGAGAAAAAGGGGGGGGGGATTTCTTATAGTGGCAAGCAAAAAAAAAGACCTTTACATGTAATCCATATTTTATATCATAATAGTCTAATAGTCTAGAATTAAGCCAATGTCCTCTTTCGTAGTCACTTAATATTTAAAAAAAAATGACAAAATGGGAGAAGGGCGTATAGTTTTGTCCCTCACTTTAATTGGTATGGTACCCTACACCCCTGAATTTATATATCCCCTCCACACCAAGATAAAAGCATAAATACGTTCAAACAAATTGCAACTGATTTTATGCTTTTTATGGGCTCTGTAATTTGGGAAATAAAAATATTCTATTCTATTCACAGGCACTTGTCTCAGAAAAAAAATTTCCTATATACCTTAAAGGGAAACTTCGCAAAAAAATGAAAAATTGATATTATGTTCATTCTGTATAAAAAAGCACAAATTCATAAATATTAAAGTTTTATTCTGCTATATAAGAGATCACCATCGATTTTAAATTTAGAGTATCAATTCTCTGCATGCGGCCATTTTGACATCTTCTCGGTTTAGAAACCACGATATATCTATAAACCACAAAGGACCAAAACCAGCAGTAACCTAACGTAGTCGTAATTGCGTGTCGATATCTTGTCAAGCGTACAGTTGTTTTATCCGACAAGAAAAGCATAAACAGTTTCCCGGGTAACAAAAATGATTATAATAGACATGGTTGTGCAACCTTTCCTAACTAACATGATACGGAAAATGTAATTATTTTTTTTAAATAACTATGGTCTGTCGTATTTAAACTGTTTTTTTTACCAAGGATTTGTATTTGTTACTATACAAATCCTTGTTTTTACTAAGTTTTGAAACAAGAAATTTATAGGGGAATTAGTTAAAAAGTCAAAGCTCAAAGTCATAAATAAGTGTCCCGTGTATAATTGTTTTCGAAAATCTAATTTGTTCATAATTCTTTTATGTAATAAACTTTTATGTTATAAACCAAGGCTCCGTGTTGAAGACCGTACTTTGACCTATAATGGTTTACTTTTATAAATTGACAATTTGTGACTTGGATGGAGAGTTGTCTCATTAGCACTCATACCACATTTTCTTATATCTAATCATTTAAATAAATTCAGACCTTCCCTTATCTGATCACCAGCGTGGCTAAAGGAATTATTCCCAGAGGTATTGTGAGGTGACACGTCCAGGTATTCATGCGATTTCCTGTCAGGCTTAAAAACTCTTATTACACAAATACATAAAGCAAGTTCATGCATCCCTTCATTTCTAAGGGTATTGATCAGTGTACACGGCCGATAACTTGTAACTTTCCATTTTGAAACTATCAGGTGTATTATACATCTTTGTCTTGCGTGTCCGATAGTGATATACTAGTCATTACTAAACACATACGCTTGTTTATAAATAACATTTCTGGTGTAAAGAATGATATTTATGAAAATCTAAATAATTCCAAAAAAAGATTTGATAAAATTTTTCCAAGGGTAAATTGTGGAAATGTAAGTATATACTCGTTGTCAATAATGATGGACATTTTGAAACATACAAATATTGATTTAACAAAAATGTACGCACTTCTCGATCATTGGTTAATACGCCTAGATAGAAAGTTACGGAACTATAGATAGTCGCAATTAAAAATATATACATGTTTTTGAATATAACAGAGAAACATCGAGAACCAATTTGATTTAAATACAGGTTGATATCTTACTTGCTTTGGTTCATCGAAGTTATGGACATAGTAAAATCACAGATTTATATTTCATTTAGATTGTTCTCGAACAGTTAAAGAAATTCGTCATCAACACAATTGATGAGTATAATGTATAATGATGTGAGCATGGTTCTAAAAGTACATTATGCTAACTTTCCTGTTCCGACATGCATGTAATATATATGCCACTGGACGTACACTAATGATCCCCAAAAAATCTATTTGAAGAAATAAAGAAACTTCACTCCGGATAGACTGATAGTATTTGTATTAACGTCTGATTAGCTAGATGGTTGATTAATTTATTTAGTTGGCTTGTGGGGGGAATAAAATATTCCCAAATATTGCACTTATGCATAAAATATTAAATGAGAGTAATATGAGAGAAAATATAAATACGAAAAGTCGCATATCTGGTAAAAGAAAGTCTCACTGGCAACTATAGAATTTCACGTACAATTGTCATTCTTAATCGAAATAACGGACAGTCATTAAAATACATGCATGTACACTTTGACAAAAAGGGGTGCCGCAGTTGCATATTATTCATCATAAATCTATTTCAAGTATATACTTTCCTGTCATTCTTATAAGCAGAGACATATAATACAAGAGATTCGCAACTCGGCGAAATCCCGTAATAACACGCGGCCACTAGCGAGATCTCCTTAGGTAATAAAGTCATTAATAAAAGTATTAAAAGTACTCGAAGTAAGGACGAATGTTTAAGCATAACATAAACTGTTTCAGTGTTAAATTTATCATAATTAATTAAATATAATTTGAGTACATATATAATTATTTATTTTAATGTAATTTTGATTTTAGATTTGTATTATTGAAAAAGAGACATAATTTGATATTGTATAAAAAAAAACCGATATTAAATAATTAACACTTAATAAATTGTGTCAGAGTTCATTTTATTTGATAGTTACATAATGGGTTTCTATTGAATATACACCTGTCTCGGAGACATAATTTCACAGTGTGACATGTATATTAGGTTTGAATTATTCGATGACCAGGTAAATCACGAACATGTTATAAATAATGAGTTTTAATTGACACCTTGTAAACAAGAAGTTGTCACACCACAGGTGTCCACACTCTTTCCAAAAATACAAGTCACAAAATGTATAATTAATTAATATGGAAAAAAAACTTAATTTATTTGTTAATTAATTGTTAATCATGATAGGCTTTGTTTTTTATTCTTGATATTTATAAATTATTAAAATTTTATTTATTTTTATATTCCTCATTTATTGGGCTTTCATTGAGTTTTTTTTCTGTAGGATTGTCGGTAAATGTTTGATTTCTAAGTGTTGTTTGACAGTTTTATCATATAGGCTTGCATGGAGTTGTTTTTTTAAATGATTGTCGGTAAATTTATGGTTTCTTCATGTTCGAAGTGTGTATTGAGAATTAATATTTAAGAAAATTACAATT